CTGGTCTGAGATCCACATTTTGACAGCTTTTTCCCAGTGGACGTTTCCCAGTTCATGTGGCACAGGGTATCTAGGACTCAAACAGAAAGCTTGTGTTGAGCACAGACTTTAGGACTGCTAGAGCAGCCAGAAAAAGGAGGCAAATCGCAGAAAAGAGGGATCTGACAAGGAGGGACCCCCTAAAATCGGTTTATAAATTCCCCTGAAGTCATTTTGACCCCCACGTGAATTCACAAGAGAGACATTATAAAACGCAACAGAAACCAGTAGCTGGAAAGGGTGACAAGACAGCAGAGATTTCAGCTGCTCCTCATTGCAGCAGTGACAGACTTCAGAGTTTGAATCCAATCCTGCTGTGTTAGAGAGGATTGCTAAACACCTTGGGCATTCCAATGAAACTTCAGAAGGGCCACGCTGTAGAAGTAGAAATCGTGTCCTAGGACTGAAGGCAGACCCAAATAGACCCCCCCACACACACAATGCATAAAACCAATCTCAGGGCAAGGTACAGTAGCCCATGCCTGTAATCTCAACACTTTGGGATGCCAAGGCAGGCAGATCATGAGGTCAGGAGTTCAAGACCAACCTGGCCAACACAGTGAAACCTCATACAAAAATTAACTGGGTGCAGTGGCAGGCCTCTGTAATCCCAGCTACTGGGGAGGCTGAGACAGGAGAATCACTTGAACCCAGGAGGCGGAGGCTGCAGTGAGCTGAGTGTGGGCACTTCAGTGTGGGCAACAGAGCTAGACTCCGTCTCAAAAAAAAAAAAAGAAAGTCTCAGCATGAGTCACCAGTGACTTAATACTCTGCAGAGGAGATAAAAACCAAGAGTCTACAGTGCATCATCCACACTGTCCCATGGACAGTCAGCACTGCTGCACATATGAAGAAACAGGAAGGCGTGACCCAGTAAGTAGAAGCAAATCCTAAAGTGACCCTTTTCTTGGAATTTGCAGACACAGAATTTAAAGCACATATTTTACATATGTTCAGAGATTCAAAGAAAAGTAGGCCAAGCACAGTGGCTCACGCCTATAATCCCAGCACTTTGGGAGGCCAAGACAGGCATACCGCTTGAGTCGAGGAGTTCCAGACCAGCCTGGACAATACGGCAAAAGCCCATCTGTTAAGGAAAAAAAAAAAAAGGAGTGTTAGTGACTTAACTGCAGATGAGGACTCTCTCACAGAATAGAAACTAATGAAGAATCACATGAAAATGCTAAGACTGAAAACTGTAATATCTAAGATGAAAAATTCATTGGAGGCAGAACAAATTAATCAGAAGAATGGCAAAACAGAGTAGAAAAATATGGACAGAGTTTCAGTATCATACGGACAAATTCAAACAGTCTAACGTGTGATCAGAGAGCCAGGAGGAGCAAAGAGAGAGATGGGAACAGAAAAAAAGATTTCGAGAAATAATGGCTGAGAATTTCCCGAATTTGGTGAAACATCAAAACTGACAAATCCAAGAAGTTCAGCAAATCTCTGATTACAAAGAAAACCATACCTAGGTGAATCATAGACTGCTGAAAACCAAAGGCAAAGAGAAAATCTTGAATGCAGCCAGAGATAAAAGACACATAAACAGGAGAACAACAATATGAATGATGGCTAACTTGACACAGAAACAATGGAGACCAGAAGTCAGTGGAATAGGATCTTTAACGTGCTGAAAGCAAAAACCTATTAATTTGCCAAAATTACTTTTCAATTATAAAGTCAAAGTAAAAACATTTTTAGATAAACAAAAACAGAAATCAACAGCAGGTGTCCCAGAAAGTTTTTCACACTAAAGGGAAATGACACCAAATGGTAATTCAGATGAAATCATAACCACTAGAAATGGCAAATAGAAACATCTGTTTTTCTTAAGTTATGCAAAAGATAAGTGGCTATTTCATTCAAAAATTATAACATTGGATTGTATAGTATAGTATAGTATATGTAGATTTAGAATTTTTTTTTTTTTTTTTTTTTTTTTTTTTTGAGACAGAGTTTCACTCTTGTTGCCCAGGCTAGAGTGCAATGGCACGATCTCGGCTCACCACAACCTCTGCCTCTCAGATTCAAGCGATTATCCTGCCTCAGCCTCCCAGGTAGCTGGGATTACAGGCATGCGCCACCACACCCAGCCAATTTTTGTATTTTTAGTAGAGACGGGGTTTCTCTATGTTGGTCAGGTTGGTCTTGAACTCTCAACCTCAGGCGATCCACTCACCTCGGCCTCCCGAAGTTCTGGGATTACAGGTGTGAGCCACCGCGCCTGGCCATATTCAGAATATTTGATAGTGGTAGCACAAAGAATGGTAGGATAACAGAAATTAGACTTTTGCAGAAATTCGTCTCTGATACTTTACATGAAGTGGTACATTTTAAACTCTAGAAAAACATATAGTAGGCCAGGCACAATGGCTCACACCTGTAATCCCAGCACTTTGAAAGTCCAAGACAGGTGGATCACTTGAGGCCAGGAGTTCAAAATCAGCCTGTTCAACATGACAGAACCCCAGATCTACTAAAAACAAAAGTTAGCTGGCCATGGTGGCACTTAGCTATAATCTCAGCTACTTGGGAGACTGAGACACAAGAATCGCTTGAACCCAGCAGGCAGAGGTTGCAGTGAGCTGAGATCATGCTACTGCACTCTAGCCTGGGTGACAGAGCGAGACTGTCTCAAAAAAAAA